AAATTGCTGGTTGGATGTCAACTGCTATCCAGTCCATACCCCATGCTGCTGTTGCTGCTACTCCTCTTTCTCTTTTTTATGGTTCTGTCATCTACATTAAGTGTGATGCTTGGTTTGAATTTTCCTTACTTTTTTTATTTTAAGGTTATATTGATCTTATCTTATAAGTTTGAAATGTATTAGAACTTACACCTTGGTTCTGTCTAGACAATTATGGTTAAAGATGCTACCATATCTGTTAACAGATGTGTATGGGGCCCGGATGGATCTATACTTGGTAAAAATAAATTTGTGTTGGTGCTTGCTCATAAATTATGTTCTTATTTATTTGATTTTGTTTGGGAGTTGCTGATTGTCATGCCTTGTTTTTTGTGAAGGTGTTGCTTTCTCCAAACACATTATTTAGATATATACATATACTCCTGCTGGGGAGTTAAGACAACATTTGGAAGTGAGGATGTTTTTGTAGTGTGGCCAATTTTGTTATTTTTTTGCCTCTTTTGGTTGATGGTTTTGGGTTTGAATATCTCTCGTTGATGATGTAAACTCGAAATTACTCTTGAACTTTGTATATTGGTTCTTTCGATTTTGCCTCTTTTGGTTGTTGGTTTTGGGTTTGAATAACGAGGGTTTGAATATCCCTCGTTGATGATGTAAACTTGATGTTACCCTTGAACTTTGTATATTGGCTATTTCGATTTAATGGCAATTCTATTTAAACGTATCGGGTAAAATACATACGGTATTTGGTAATTGTTGGGAAATACTACAAAAACAATTCCAAATAATTATTTAAAAAGTCTTCATACGACAAACTTTCCAAACACATAAAGTTCATCTCTGGCTGTCCATTTTTATAAACATTTTCATCCCAAAATCTGCTGTGCACAATTTGAACTTTTTCACACATGTGTAAAACAAAGATGCAAAAGTATTTTACGGACAAACAATTTCTAGCAAGAAATATTTGAGAATTAAGTAATCAATGTTTATAATAAAACAAATAAAATGGTTTATGAAATGATTTTTGAAGTCACACAAATTGTTTATACGATTCAAAAATATTTTTGGGATGTATCTATTGTTTCTGAGATCCCATAAACCGTGTTTCTTGTGATTCAAAACAGATTTTTGGGACAAAAAATCGATTTCTGGGACTAGAAATCGATTTCTGGGCCAGAAATCATATTTCTGAGACTATAAACGAGATAATCTAGAAAACGATTTCTGGGTACCAGAAATCACATTTTCGACGCATAAATCACATACATAAATTAATTTATGTGTCAGAGATGTAATTTTTGGGCCAGAAATCGATTTCGTGACAATAAATCGATTTCTTCAAATTTTCGACCCAGAAATCAATTTCTGGGTCAGAAATCGATTTCTTGACTAACAATTGATTTCTTGTTCAGAAATGTGATTTCTAGTACCAGAAATCACATTTCTGGTCAAGAAATCGAATTCTAGTCCAAAAATCGATTTCTGACCCAGAAATTGGTTTCTTGGCAAGCAATCGATTTCTGGACTAGAAATCGATTTCTGGGTCGAAAATTTGATAATCCAGAAAATGATTTTTGGGTTCCAGAAATCACATTTCTGACCCAGAAATTACATTTCTGACCCAGAAATTAATTTCTCGCTCAGAAATGTGATTTCTGGGCTACAAATTAATTTCTGGACTAGAAAGGAGACGATCTAGAAATTGATTTTTGGGTCAGAAATGTGATTTCTGGGTCAGAAATCGATTTTTGGGACAAGAAACGAGAGATTCAGAAATCGATTTCTGGGTCAGAAATGTGATTTCTGGGTTAGAAATCAATTTCTGGGTCAGAAATCGATTTCTAGGACAAGAAACGAGACTATCTAGAAATCGATTTCTGGGCCCAGATTCAATTTCTGGACCGAGAAATCAATTTCTGGGCCCAGAAATCATTCAATGTTCCAAGAAATCTATTCTACAATTTTTTTTTGCCATATTCATTTTATTAATTTGAATAGTATAAATATTTGGCCCATTAAAAAGAAGATAAATTATAACACCTTTACACTAATATTTCCGAGATATCACCGGAATGTTGTCGGAATGAATATAGAGAAAATGAATTTTTTTTTGTTAAGAGAATGATTTTTTTTGTTGAGATTAATGGATGAAAATAGTGAATGAAGTTAGTTGAAAATGGAAGAGAGAAGAGAGATGAACTTTAAAAATGATATTAAGGGTATTTTAGTCTTTTCATGTGCCAAAATGGCTAAAAAAGATGTTTTTTTCAAACTATGGCTAAAATTTGTGTTAGCCATTTCAACATGGCTAAAAAAATAATTCACTGTAAATAAAAAGTCAATTTATACTATTTATACGAAAACCCCTTGTGAAAGTTATTGAATTAACCCGGATTGGACACAGTCCGACCGGATGGACGGAGAACCGGTTTATAATTCGGTTGAATAAAATATTTGCTATTTAATTCATCAACACCAATCGATTGGACTGGTAGGATCGATACAATTTTTGAAACAAAATTTGCTACATTTAAAATTAGTGTAAATAAAATTACATATTTAAATAAAATAGAGATTATAAATTGTTTATCAATTAGTTTAAATATTGAATTTATATATCGTTTAGATATTTAAGTAACATATTTTATTTAAATTTATTACCAAAAATCCTATATATGTTTATTGAAATGTTTATAAATTAAAATCTGAAGAAATCACAAGTGATCTAATAAAATAACTTGGTCGTTTCAATGACGGTCCGGTTGTGAAAACCTTATATTTACTGTACATTAATAAAAATTATAATAAAATTATTTTATTCACATAAATATTACTATAATGATATATAAATATTTATAAATTATTAAACATGTTGTCATAAAAGTACTGATAATATGATTATTTGAAGTTTGGACTGCATCACATTCACGTAATAAAGTATTTTTCAATATTATAATTTATATTTAGATTCAATAATCGATTTGGTCTGGTCAAACTGATATATAACTTAGTCACCTGGGACCAATCAAGCTGTGTCAAGTTTTTTGACCATTTTAAATATCACCTAAAAGTAATTCAATCAACATGGGCAGTACCCTAATTCAATCACCCGATTGATCCAAAGAAATTTCTTTATTTTCTATAAATATATTTAATTTTATGAAATAAAATAATTTATGATTCATATAATAAATTTCTACACCAAATGATTGTATATTAAAATTATAAATTATATATCTAAAGATGAAGTAATTATTTTTACTGTAACGCCCCGTATTTTATTAATAAAGGAAAATACTAGCTTTCGAGTAAAAGCTAGCCTTTGTTAATAAATATTCATGTTAATATTCAAGTCCATGTTATTCAGCTAGTTAAGTTCCAAGTTCGACGTTAAGTCAATAATATATTCGGTTAATTTTATTAATTAACCGAGTCAATGATAGTAATTAATATCAGTCCGGTTATATTAATAAATGGACATCAGCAGGTTGGGATTAATTATTCCAATGTTGACGTATTAATTAAGTTAATCGTCAAAAATTAAATTCAAGCCATTTATTCAGTTGCAGTTAAAGTCCGACTATTAGTCGATAAATTATTCGGTTTAATTATTTCAGTAACCGGATAAGTTTCCAGACTTAATTCCGATTCGCTTCTTTGTTTAATGAGTTCGGAATTAATAAGTTAAGTTGACCAATTATTCGAAATATCAATATTCGGATTAATCGTCCAAGTCAGGAACATCCGAAATTATTTTCGAAGTCACGTTTACGTTGGGAAAATTTTGGAAATTTAGTGCCAACTTAGCTAAATAATTAAGCACTATAGTTGTGTTTGACAAATGGCGCAAGTATGTTTAGCCAACAATTTCCTCACCTCTTCCCTAATTCTTTCGGTTATACATTTTCTAAGTATGGGGAAAATTGAAGCTACTACTCTAAGTGCATATTCAATCTATAGAACACTTCTAAGATAAGTTAATAGAGAGAGGTTGAGGGATTTGGAGTGTCGCACGCGGAAGAAGCTTACCCGCAAGCAACGCACGCGAAAATTCATGAAAGTCATGCTATTGTTCGAGCTGTTAAGAGGTAAATCCCTTATGGATATGGTCTTGATGTTAGTATGTTCCTCTTCAATTCAAACCTTAAGCTTAAAGTTCGTGAATTTTCTATAATTTCTCTCGACCATACGCATTAAGTTATGATCAAGTCATGTTCATTTTTGATCCGAAACTCTCGAACAATTTTCATGTATTCAGTCATTTCATGCCATATTATGTTCAGTTAAGTTAAGTTTGTCGAGAGATTTTCATGTTCGGTCGATTAGTTGGCCAAGGGACGTGGGTTGCGCACGTAGCGCATGCCACGGGCCGTCCATGTGCATGGTCATGTTAGATAATGATCCTTCGAGCAATTCATGTTGATTTGATCAGTAAATATTATTTTATGTTCAGTTATGTGTTAGTGGTCGAAGAAAAATAAAGTTTGGTCGAGAATCGGCTTAACGCCGTAGGCGGCACACGGTGCGCACACCACCGGCCACATTAGCATATTGAACAAATTCATGATTTTTGAGTGAAATTAGCAGTTTGATCGTGTCAGGATGATTCACTTTGTTTCGTGTTAAAACTGTCGAGAGAAATCG